TCCCCTTTGTTTTCGTCTTTATTTTCGTAGCGCTTTGGGAATTGAGTAAAGAAGCAGATGCAGAAGGCGTGGGTGTGGGTGTGTGGGTGTGTGCGTGTGTGCGCCCGGCCGGGAAACCGAGGTGCCTTCAGTTGTAAGATAAATCTGATGGGTAATGCGATCAATTAGGTATTAACTCTGTTGTAAATATATAGAGCATATCCTGTGAAGCATATTGGACATATTGTCTCATATTGGACAATCCTGAACTTCATGTCTCGGGTCCCAAATATCCCCTTTGTGAGTGTAACAAAAGAGCCCCCCATCCCGAAGGCTCTCTCAGTATGTTACCTTTGCATTTGCTGCTCGGTTTCGGATTTTTTTTTTCCCCGTTTTTTTTTTTTTTTTTCCCCTCCAGACCCCCCGGTTAAACCACGGAAGCTACTCGCAGTCATTGAAAGCTTTCTGCATTACAGAGGTATTATGAAACGCTCATATTTTTGAGGAGAAAGCAAGCAGATTGCCGGAATGAAAACAAACCAACCTCCAGCTTAAGTAGCGGCTTTCGAAAGCCCTTTATTGATATAAGATAACCGGCGTTACTCGGACACCAAGTGCCGGTTTGGATGGAGAATAAGGGAAATAGACAGAATGAATAAAAAGATTATCGGATTCTTTCTGCCCCCCTCGTCCCCCGTCGTCGTCCCCATCCCCCCCCCCCCCCCCCCCCCCCCCCCCCCCCGCCACCCCACTACTTATTTCTAACTAGAGAACATCACGTGTGTTAGCAGGAATTTCGAGACCTTTCATTCTTTATATTACGTCCCGCTTTGCACAGGGGCAGTCTGAACTAACCCAAAGAATATTCCTTTTTCTTTCTTTTTTTTCCCCCTTTCTCTACCGAGCCCACGTTCCTTTCGGACACACGCGTTAAACTCAGCCCCTCGCTGCCCGTAGTTCTGCTCAAAGGGAAAGGTGCTGGGGATCCCCGGAGGTGCCACGGCGCTGCGAGGGGAGCGGGACGGGGGGCACTCGGCTGATTCTTCAATCGGGGCTTGGTTGGACTAGATGATCCTGGTGGTCTTTTCCAACCTAAACGATGCCGTGATTCTGACGGAGATAGCGCACAAGGCCGAGGTGGACACCGCTGTGCTGAAGTCGACATTTCTCCTTCGGATGTAATGAATATGTGCATCCTTTCAGACGTTCACAGCTGAGGAGCATTGAAAGGCCTTAAAAGAGCCGAGAAATACCTCCTTCCGTCCCTGGAAAAAACTGCTGGGGCTGGCATGTGCGGCAGACACCCAGCCCGTGACTTCTCATTACAGATCTCCGGGGAAATAAATGAATTTTATTGTGTCTCGGCAACCTCATAAACACATATTTGGTGGTGGGTGTAATTACTGTAATGGATTATTATGTACACTGACTTATCTTTCTTAAACTAGATTTAGTTTCGATTAAATAAACTCGTTTCCACTTTGTCTGATGTCGGCTTAGTTTAAAGTCTGTTTACTTGTTCCACAGAAAGGTGAATTCATCTCTTTATTAAGCACTAGAGACCGAGCAAACACAGTTCAAACTGTATTTACATATCAATCAGGAGAAACGCAAACAAACTGCTCTTGAACAATTTTATAGTTTTTTAATGACATTCTGTTATTGCTTTTATCATAAATTTATTTGTATAAAGCGGTTATGCCTTCATTAGGATGAAGATACTTGCTTGTGTTTTTGTGGTTTTCTTTCTTTTTTTATTTTAATACATTTTAGTCCCCGCTCTCCCTCGAGGTCGATCACGGGGACGAAGGCACTGCGCAGCCTTTCTAAATTAAAATCGGTGCCTCCGTCCGAACACACACTTCTTGCAGTACGCCGACGTTCGGTCCCCCGAAGAAGTTTGGAGAATGGGATGGTGAGGAGGCAAAACTAAAACCTGAACTTGTGGGAGAAATGCACCTTTCCCAATGTGAGCGCTCATTTATAGGACATTTTATAGGGAGGATGAAGGACCCCGCGAGGAATGGCTCTCTCCTGCTTCTCCCCATTTCTTGGCACTGCCCTTTAACGGGGGAGAACCGCCGAGGGCATTTTTCCTAAGAGTTCGTGGTTGACTGCCATGGAGTCTGCACGGAGTAAAAAGAAAAGGGGGGGAAGGGAAAGAAAACCTACGGAAAACAAAAGGCAAAAGCCCCAAACCCTACCACCGCCCCCACGACAATAGCAGAGGGCTCCTTCCCGTTTGCTGCTCCCCAGCCAGCCGTGGGTTTGCCGGTCCCCCCGGGCAGCGCTGGGAGCCGAGGCCGTGGCCGTCCGTCGGGCCGCGCTGGGAGCGGGGCTGGGAGCGCCTTCCTGCCCGCGGCGTTCCGACGGCAGCGCGGTGCCCAAGGACTGCGCGCCAGTGCGGGTCCCGAACAGTGCAATCTGAGACAGCTCCGAGATGACTCCGGGACAAGTTGCCACGGAGCGAGGGGAGATATTTTGGCAGTTCTGTGGCAGAGTGCGGGTACGGGGCCCCATTGGGCCCCAGCCCTGGCCGCGGTGCAGAGGAACCCGGAGTGCGGCCCGAGGGAGTCCCGGAGGACTGCGGTCCTCCCACGGCCGTGTCGAGAGCAAAGCTGAGAAATACTTTTTTCTGTCTGACCGCTGTTCCTCTCATGATCCCCTTCGGGGGGGTGGAAAAAGCCAATCTCCAAACCCTAAGTAATGGTAACACTGTTTGTGCGCATCAAACGCATGCAGAGATCTGTCCCAGTGCGGCTGTTGCTATGAGGTAGAGAGAACACCATCTCTGGCAAAGGGCTGAATAATGCGAAATGATTTTTTATCATTTCCCTTTTTTTTAATTGCTTTTTTTTTTTTTCTTTCCCTTCTTCTTCTTTTTTTTTTTTTTTTTTTTTTTTTTTTTTTTTTTTTTTTTTTTTTTCCTGGCTGCATCACGTTAGGGAGCAGGTAAGGTCAAAGTTTTCTATATCCTATGTCTTTCTCTCAAGGCTCTGGTCAGCTATATAAATAAGGAGAATAAGATGAATTTATGTAACACGGAACTGAATTCTTTTTGATGCTTAAAACAACGCGCTGTGCAGGAAGCGTCTTGGGGATCCCAGAGATGCAAACATTGCCTGGGACATTTCATCTTCGATTTGAAGGTTTTTGGTAGTAGGAGGGGGGAAGGAGAAAAACTGGTATTATTTTAGAATTACATTACGAAGCAGACATTTACAAAAGGCCGAATGCATTATCTATGCAAGAAACGGGAAAGTGACGGTCCCCAACTGGCTTAAAGAACTTAAAAACAAAAACAAACAAACAAACAAACAAAAAC